AGTGTATGTGCTTTATTTTACCTCTCAATGGCCAGTTCCTTATTGGAGGTCTGCTGGACATAAATGACAATTTTCTTGTCCATTCCTGCACGCAGCTTGAAGCTCTGCTTGTACTTGTCTTTTGCTACAGCACTGAATATGAAAAACAAGTAACACTGTTCACCAAACTCTTAACAGCAAAAAAGATCATGAACAGAAATAACTGTGACCCGTTGAGTAATAAAAGGGCTACAGCACTGAATATGAAAAACAAGTAACATTGTTCACCAAATTCTTAACAGCAAAAAAAGATCATGAACAGAAAAAATTGTGACCCGTTGAGTAATAAAAGACAAAATGAGCCTGAAAATAATAACAATGATAATAATGATAAACTACTTAAATTATGTAACAGATACCCCAATGCCAACAAGATATGATTTTTACAAAATAACAAAATGAAAGCGCTTTTTTTCCGGCTGAGCCACAGCTCTTGCTTAAAATAGACCTATTTATCATAAGAAAGTGCAGAGCAGGAAAAGAGCCAGGTTCGAGTCAGGAAAAGTAATCAACATTCTCCAAAGCCCCGTTGATACAAATTCTTGAGGAAACACTGAAGAAACCCTTTCATAAAAACATTTTTGAGTTAAAAATAAAACACCTGTAAATCATTCCAAAATCTGTTGCAAACATTTGGAACTTCTCACAGCTTCAGGTCACAAAAACCTGTTTTCTCTCTCCTAAAAATAATCAACGGCGAGTTAATGAGGAGGAAATGTGTGCTGACTAAAAATAATTACAGCCTTTTTTTTGTTTGTTTGTTTTGTTTTCCAAAGTAATTGAAAACCTTAAGGGTTTGTGAACACACGGAGGTGACTCAGTAACATAAGAAAACAAAAAACAAAAGGTCAGAGAACTGAATAAAGCAAAAACTTTTTAAGTTCTCTCCATCAATGTGTGGAAATGTTGTGTGAACTTAATTAAAAAAAGTGATCAACTATCGGTCTACTGCAAACGTCTATTTCCCCTTTAATAATATTTTTATTATTTCACAATTCCTTTAGACAACCTTTACCTCATAGGTAGAATTTACAACACATGCTGTCAACTGCAGAAAGGTTTGTGACTCTGTGAATGGCTCACCCAGAGGTTTGCTCACTTTCAACAACAACAGTAGGGCTGCATGTCCCTGTGTTGACACAAGTTATTTAGTAAGAAACTCTGTTCATTTGGTGGCCAATTTCAATTAAATTTAAATTTTTTGTTAAAGAGGTGGTGCTACTGCAAATAACTTTTTCCCAATATTTCAAAATTCGATATATTGTCCAAGACATACTTCTGCCTAGATTTTTTTTATTCTCTAAATCTTGTTTACTTGTTGCCTATGGAAGAACAATGTACATGCACATCGAGAATCATTGTACCTGAGTCCAATTCCTCATGTGTTCAACACACCTGGCCAAAAAAGTTGATTCTGATTCTGATTCTAAAGTTGGTGTTCTACTATGTGGTTTGCTTACAGAGACTGAACAGTCCATTCTTCTCTTGCTTGACAGATGTTTCCAGACCTCTGTACAACTCCCAAGTATTTGGGAGACATAGTATTACCCATTCATTTTCCATACTTTACACAGCATCAGGTAACACATATGATAATTCCATTCTCAACATATTGAAGTACATAATGTTTAAGTATGGGTCCCACCTGAAGGTACCCTTTCCATCATCCTCCTTGATCTCTAGGCTGACGGTGAAGGTAAACAAGTCACTATCAGGGGTGAGTGGAGCAGCCTGCTGAGATGACAGGACTGCCTTCTTGGCTGACCGCCGAAACGCTGTGGCAAAACTGTACAGTATCCTACTCACCTGCAGAGAGAGAAAGGGGTAAACACAAACAAAACACTTTATAAAAACACCAAATTAAACCACTACTACTGTAGGTGGGCTCATAACCCCAATATACAAATTAATATCCAGACAAAGCTGCACTGAAACAGTCATAGTAAGCATAATACTGTGCAAGTTTGAGTTTTCCAAGTCAAAAGCATCAACACCAGGCCAGGCAATCGCTCAGCTGTTACTACTGATTAAATAATCCATCCAGCCATTGCAGATGTTATTTTGTGATATGTTTACCTAATAACCCACTGCTATACTGACTGAACACCCTCCAACCTACCAACCATTTTGAGGTTTAATCAACCTACGGATTTGCCTGTGATTCTGGATGTGGAGAGGTTTTGTTTCTATTAACATTAAACAGCTGCTACTCGCTCCTACAGAGCTGAGCTTGGGGGCTGGGGGCAACTGGAGACTGCCAAGCGTGGAAAACTGGGTGGTATTGATTTATTTACATTCAGTAATGTATTTTTCCACTCACATGACTTTATGTATCTGAGCTTTGCAACAAGTTAAGTCTTTTACTTTTGAGTATGTCAGGTAATAAACAGAGCTCTCCCTCAACTAGAGGCCCCCAGCAAGCACAGTGGTTTTGGATCAGCTCTATTTCTGCTACAGAGTGGAGCCTGGGGGTTAGGGACTGAAATGTGGTGTTGGGAAACTGCTGCTATCAATAAGTAACAAGAGTCTTGCTTTATTCCAGGCCCAATATAAAGCACTCGTACACAAAGCCTTTGTTAATTTCCCAGTACAGTAGAAGGATGCAAGGGCATCATAGGGGGTTTATTTATTCAGAAACAACAGGAGGTTGGAAGAGTTAAATCATGGGGGGTCACCCCATGTAGTGATGGAATTATGAAATTTAACACAAAGGGATTGTTGTTCTGCATTGGTCAATCGATGCTAGAATCAAAACTAACCAGTTTTGAAAGTCTACAATTGGTTTTATTCTTTGTCTGCAGTGGTAAGGAATTTTATCAGGCTGTGGACCGTTGTACTGCAAACATATCAGTCATGACAAGTAATTTAGGCTGGTACTGAACGCTGCCATTCTATCTTTATAAAGTACTATTTCTGGTAAATTTTCAATAATCCCACACATGACAAAATAAGGCAGATCAATGCACCTACTGTATCAAACTACTTTTTAATTGTAAGTTTTAACCTTCTGTTCAAAAGCTCTGTCTCTGGTCACACTTTTAAACAAGCTCAGTAAAATATTTCCATATATATAAAGAGAAAAAGTTTAAAAATAACTTCTCTTACTCTTAAATGTCTTTAAAAATGTAATTATATAAGGCATTCTGGATTTGCCTTTATCTAAAAGCTGTGCCCTTTTACAGATCTGGAATTTGTTAAGTGTCTTGTTAGACTGTTGTACTTTCTGTACAGGATATTCTTATTATTTGTTTCTTGGCAGCAGTATCTTTATGTGCCTCCTGAAATGAGGCTTTGAGATATTTTTGATGTAATGTCAACAATCTGCATCATTTTGTTAGTGCCAAATTTGTGTTTGTCTTTCTAAATGTGATTTTTGGAGCCCAAATTGCTTCAGTAAAACTGATCTATTGAAGCCATACTGTTTTGAATCACACAGCATTAGATTTTCATCTCTAGACACAAGCAGCAATTTTTTGAGCAAAAAAAGAAGAGGTGCTGGGCATAAGACTCTCTGCATCACCATCAACAACACCAGGAGACTGGGAATTGTTAAAAAAACAGCCTCGGGGCCTGACTAGGAGGTCTGGCACAATGGAGGCAGAGCGGGACTGGGGAGGTGGATTTCTTTATGTATGAACAGTTCTATTCCAAAATCCACAAACCTATTTAGAAAAATAAATGGCACACACAAACCTCAGAAAAACACGTGTTTGCAAAATCTTTATGGCAATAAATTTAATAAACACTATTCTTTCTCTTTCCAAAATGTCCAAATTGTGGTTATAATGCTTCAGATCCTCTCTTAACAATTCGACTAATAAAAAGGCCAGCTGCTTAAAGCAAACGGGACAGCTGTGGTAAATAGTTCAAGTCCATCTGTGGTGTCCTCACACAAGGTGACTTCAGTATAGATTTAATGGGTATGCAATCAGAAAAGAGGTCTTGGGAGTTGGATTTGAGGCTGATGTGAGGAATATGACTAAAGGAAGGATGAGGAAGAGGCAACTAATGGGCAGACTCACTCCAGTAAGGAAAGGCCAAAAAAGCTGGAGGTAGAGCAGGAAGGAAGGAAAGATGGAAGGAAGGAGGAGAAGGAAAGGGACGCTGCAATAGGAAGACTGTGTGAAAGAGAAGAAAATGAAGAGAGAGCCGGAGACAGAGATGTCTGGTTGCTAAGTAAAAGAAATGGACTAATGTTGGAAATTATCTGTGCAGGAATTGTGGCTGTATATTCATTAGTGTTTTAGTGTGTAATGTGCTATGGGTGGGTGTCTGGGAAACTGGATAGTCACATGATACAAGGGTAATAAAGTAATGTCTGTCTGGGGGCTCTTAAGTGATTTTGAAGAGAAGTGCTTCAATGAGGAGGAAATCAGGTCACTGACAACTGAAGCAGTATTTTAACATGGTTTCACAAGTGGATTCCCTCTTCTCTTCTTTTACATTTCAAATGTACCTAATCAGTGGCACTTCTTCTCCCCTATAAACTGGCTTGGGGGGTTGAGTGAACTTTGTGTTTGTGTGTGGTGGACACATACATGTGCATTGCAGCACATCCTGCAGAGCATGACATAATCTCTTGGGGACCACCGAGGAAGCTGAACACTGAACCCTCTGGGACAGGTTATAGGGAGGATCAACTATTTAAGACCAGGTCAATCACTATACTGCAGGCACTACCAGTGTGTATGAGAGGATGAGATTGTCATGTGAATCGTAGAGCCTTTACAAAGAGCTTTTGCTCCCCCTTTGGTTCACTATCTGAACAGCAACAAACAACAATCATCATGGAGTCCTCACCGCCTCCTGGATTTGGCAGCGAAACACATGGATCCTGAAAATCTCAGCATTGTAGTGGCTCTCTGTGAAGGCAAAGCAGTCGCTCTCTGGTGTGCCATCATGGCCTCGCACACAGAACAGAATCTTATATATTGGGTAGTTGGCAATCTCTGTACTGTTGTGGGGGTCCAACAACCTGTTAAAAAAAATCAATGAAAATGTTGCTGTATGGTGTCTTAAAGGTAACTAGTGCATAGTACATAGTACTCACAACAGCTTTACTCAGTGTTCCACACACATAAATATCTGACAGCACACTGTAGAACTTGAACTAATATTCAGTACATTCTCCCTACCTGACAGTGCCTTCAGACACGCCTGGCACAGACAGTGTGACGTCCAGGGGGAGCTGGCACTGCCCTCTGAGGATACTCATCATACGTAGGGCCTCCACCTCACTGCGGGGAGCATTGACTGAGGCACACCCCAAATATGTCAGCTGGCTGAACACAACACTGTCCTCATCTGGGAGGGGACTGCCAGGGCTGCTTTCTGATGATGATTCATCTCCTGCAAAGCGGCATTGAAAAGGAAGAGTGACATTACTCTAGCTGAAGATAAGAGCCATTGTGTACACTTTGACAGACATGAGAAAAGAGGATAAGAGAAGTCACTTCATGGCTCACCTCGGTATGACCTCTCATTCAGCTCACTCTCCTGGGCCGTCTGAACAGGAAGCACCATCTCCAATTTAGGCGAGTGTGCACTCAGAGGGTCAGAGCCTGGTGGTATAGGTGACACTGTGCTGGGAAGAAGGTCATGGTCACCAGCACCAAGGCCGTCCATGCCTGCTGCTGGTCCAAGACCAGTGTTCAGCTACCGACGGGTCCATGAGGACATCCTCTAATTCCCTCTGGAGCTGCTGCTCACTTCCATTCCCTACAATCTGATATACATACACACACACGGGGAGGAGTGGAAACACACACACGAATATAGAAACAGACATGCACATGATCACACCAAGGAGCAGGGACAAAGGAAAACATAAAAAGCGCAAGATTTAGACCCCAAAACACCATAAAATGCAAGAACACATACTGTTAAACAAAATCATTGCAGTAGTCATGTTGGTGGTCCCATATATTACTTCTTGTATTAGTGATTAGTGGGTAAATCCGGTTGTGTTGTGAAATAATTGTATCTAGAAATCAGTAGGACCATGCCAGCAGTGAGTGTGTGCCAGTGTATTCCACCAAAACTGGACAAGCCAGTAGTTGATTTTAAGTACGATATAGAGAGTAGACTTAAAGAGCTGTACTGAGCAATAAGGGACAAGAAAATTTAGGTAAATCATAAACAGAGATATATGGTAATTTGTTCAATGCAGTTAGACTCTAGAGCAGGAGCGATACTACAATGATGGTGTGTACGTCAATACACATAGTGCATTTAATGAAATAATAAAAAATAAATGTAAAGCAGCTATCAATTCTATATCTAGATTCACACATCTGACACAGCTCTGTCACTCTGCAGCTGTGGTGAGATTTGGGATTTACATGTGCTAAAGTCTATCTAAAGTGTTGAAGAGGCTGAGTAGGGCCATCACTCAACAGCCAGCAAAAATACAAAAAGCACAAATAATCACAGACAGAATCACCACAGAATCACGTCACAGAAAGAGAGAGGAGAAGGAAAGCAAAGATAGCGAGAGAATAGACTGACCTTAAAGCTGACCCCTTCCTCAGAAATCACCTGCATAACAAACAACAAGTTTAGACACACTGACTCCTCTGACTGGATGGGCTGACTTGGAGGGAAATGGCGAAAACCAAAACATGATATCTGGATGACAGATCATGGAGAACAGTGGATGTGTGTCTAGTACTGCTTTTCTTCCCTCTGGCAGCAGGCAAACAAACAAACAGTGGCCGATGCACTGTTTAAAACAGAAATCTCAGCTGTGTTTTCCAACAAAATAAATATACTCCTTTAAGAGGACATCAAATCATGTAAGATGAGGAATTATGCTCTCTCATCTCCACACATGGCAAAAGACAAAACAAACAAATTGTGACCTCTTCCTATCAACTGAATCTTCAACATGCTCTGCTAGCGCCATCTTCTGGCAACTTTATAAACCAATGTCAACAATTCCTTCCTATACAAACCAACACAGGTACAGTAATGATAAACACTAATGGACAGAGTATGAACATGTGAGCCAGCTACATAAATAAATTCAATTAAATCCGATAAACAGTATATTGAAAGATGTGGACAAAATGGAGAGAGGAGGGGAGAGGAATAAAGGGGAGGTAATCTGAACCCATTAGGGACACACACAGGATGGTGCCTGATATCTACTGTACATTTCTTTCCTCAGAAAGTCTTCAGTCTATTTGCAAAGAGACACACCCTGACACAAAACGCCATTATTTTTCCTGACAATGAGTTCAAAGCACTTGTAGCTGAATCACCAAACTGTTTGTAAGCTAATATCTGTTGAGTGTGTGCTAAATGAAGCACTGAAGTGAATCGCAGAGGGCATACTCTATGTCAGACATGCCGTAGTATGACAGCACATGCTGTATATCAGGGGTGCCCAATACATCAATCGCGATCGACCGGTCGATCACAAAGGTAGTGTTGGCGGATCGCATGCCATTCAAAAATAAATTAGATGTATCTGGCGTAAAACACGTGCCAAATGTTAACATGTGAATGGTCAGTGTGACGATTCGCTGTGGCGACCCCTAACAACAAAAGCAGAAAGTGACAATCATTCATATATAGCCTATCATCCATTCTCCCTATGGCATTTGCTACTTGATTGACATGCAGGGCAGCCAGTCTGAGATCTCGTCTTTTCTGACACACGAGTCACCAAACATGCACAGTCAACAGCACAAGCTACTGCAAAACTCCAGTGAGTGAACTAACTTGTCAGCCTTCAAATTAATTTCTACTAAAGGGTATAAAATGAGTGGGGGAGCCGAATCAAGTAATAAACCGAAAACGTACCGAAAACATTCCATGCAGAATGGGAGAAGTACTTTGCTTTCGCGACATTATATTCAAAATGTGTTTGCTTGATCTACCAATCTACCATCACTATTTCGAAGAAGGGAAATGTGGAGCGGCACTTTCACGCTGTTCATAAAAACTACGACACTCATTCATACATATATTTTGTGTGTGTGTAGTATTTTTAGTGTAGGTCGATCATTTTGACTTGGTCATTTGAAAAGTAGCTCGCAAGGCGAAAAAGTGTGGGCACCCCTGCTGTATATAAACAAAATCATCTGACTGACAGCAAATGGGAGATGTTTTTCCAAAGTTACGCAGCGTTTAACTTGCTGACCCTTAATGACAAAGTGGTAAAATAACAGCTGTCGTGCATGTTCAGTTCACAAAAACACACAAAAGGACAAAAGTGTTTTCCACAGTTAACCGATTTGTGTATGCAACAATGACCCCTTCCCCTATTCCACTACCCCATACTACCTAAATAATATAGGCAATATACAGCGGAAGAATGTGAAGAACAAGTTTCATCGTTCGCAGGTTTAAGGGAGAAGAACAAGGCCTCCACTACAAATAAATCCTATGACAATGTGTTCAATTTATGGCATATCAAAAAAGATTTTAAGAGCTTCCTCACCCTAAGCAGCAAATGAGCAAATACACACATAAAATACAAAGCTCTAAGACCAACTATGAGGAAATGATAGAGTGAAAATGTAGGAAAAGCAAAGAAATAAATGATTAGCCTTAAGGTTAGACTGTGAGAACACTATGCTACAGAAGACAGACTAGAGGAGCTGTTGACAAGTGAGTGATGAAAACAACCTCTTAACACTCGAATCTGGCTGACTTACATCCCCTGAACTG